TGTTTATTTAAAATTATGTCTCCTATTAAGATTGCTTTACTGTACACTTATTTATATCTGAAACGAGCAGTCACATCCTAGAAATGCCAATTTGCAAAACATTTCAGCAATATTTATGTCAGCTTTAATAAAGACACAAAATCCTGTCAATCATTGCTAATCACTAATAATATAAGGCTGTCTTTACTCTTCATGTTAAAGTGGGTCGTCACGATGGTGTTTTGTGTGTGATCCCACCATATGTATCAGCTCGGCAGTTACTACTCCAAACAAGCCACCACTACACATCGCCATGAATTACCTAATAAGGCATCAGCAGGTTGTGACAGAGGCAGCGAGGAGGAAAAAGAGGAGCGTTTGATTTCCTCACAGCTGCACAGAGGAGGAGTGGGGGATGCACCAGCTGCAGACAATGGCTCTTTATCCCCTCCAGTCACTTACACGCACAAACACACACCATCAAAACACTGACACATATACACATGGGCACACACTTCAACTTTAGGGCCCTTGTGTTTCCACTCCCTTCATGGACAACAACAGGCTCTCTGAGGGTGGATGTTTTTGTTTGTCAACAACTGCAATTTATTAAACAAAACCAGGGGGGAAATAACAATGGCTAATCCAGGTATAATTAAACTCAATGGAGAACTCACTTGAGTTATATTCATTTTTCAGAACACTAAATTTATAAAAAAAAAATACCTTTATTATTGCTTGTGCCATAAAAGGCACACAACACTGTAACTGTATGTTAATTAGAAAGGATAAATGATTTGTAATCAGTTTGACTCTGATTTTTTTTTTTTTTTGAGAGTTGGAAGAACAATTTTCTCAGTTTGACTTGAAAATACTATAGTTGTGAACAAAAAGCTAATCGGAGCACGCTCAGCTAGATTTTCCTACCCACGCACGATACTAGATTATTTCCAAAGCAGAAAACTTGCTCATATCTCTGGAAAATCACTCTCTGAGCTACGAAATATTCAGAAAAGTCAGTGAAACAGCCGTAGGGATTTAAAATTTATGTCCTCAAGCCTGAAAAGTACTTGTTCATTAAAATAGCAGATGTAGGCATAATTCATCTTTGTTAGTTTTTGCAGTACTTTGACCTGATTAAATCTCCAATAACAATTAAATACATTTTTATATTTTGCTTTGAGTTTCACGCAGATCATTTGTTTTTAAAAGCATACAAAGAAAAACAAATATCAATGCAGTATTATATATTTTTTTCTTGTTTGGGTTTGAGGTTTGTTTAAAGCTGCAGACGGTGGTTTAAACCCACTCACCTCAGTGATGGAGAGAAGGGACCACCTCACTCCCACACAATCGCAGGCATTTCCTCTGCTGTTTCCGTCGCCCCCAAACATACAGGTCGTCAATACGTAAGAAGCACAGGCCTGGAAAATGAATCGAGGAACTGTGTCCTTCTTTGTTCTTTAATTTCAATCTATTTAAAAGAGAAAACAGACTCAACAGCGGCAGAATAGTTAACACTTTCTGTTAAAAATGCTAATTGTTTCTTATTCACCTGGAAATTTTTAACATCCAGTTTACATAGTAATAGATGTAATGTAACATCCATGTAGTGCTGAAGGATAGTGGAAAAATAAGCTTAGACTGAGAACAGTCAAAGTTTTGTTTCAGCTGCTTACACTTTAACTGCAATTCAAGCAACAATAACTGTACCAAACAGGAAGTGCAAATGTTTTTCTTAAATACATCTTTATATTCAAACCAAAAGGAGCATCAATCAGAGAAAATATAATACAACCCCTGGCAAAAAGTATGGAATCACCAGTCTTGGATGAGAACTCATTCAGACATTTCATTCTGTAAAACAAACTCAGATCAAAAACATGATACAATAATAAGGT